TGTTCTAGAATATCTGAAGATCATGCATGAAAACTATTTTCACACGTTAGCAAAGTAATGAGATGGCTAACAGTCTTTCCCTACCCACGCTTCCTCCTGTGTCGTAATGAATCCAATCCGCTCATTTCCATTCTCATTGCCCCTAACTTCCTACCAGGTAAACACACTTCATGTTGCTGATACTGGGGTGGTAGGAATCAGACTTGTGAGCTTTGTTATTTTAATTACTTTCTTCTGCCTTAAAATTTCTTTCCCTCCTTGTGGGATCTCCATGGGGCTCCAGCCAAACGTCGAAGTGGTGATGGTCCTTGTTTCTCGCTCTAATGATAGCAGACTCCATCCTCATGGAGAGATGCTGCCATCTGAACCTAGGAGCACCTGTCTCAGAAGCAGATGATGGCCTGTCACCTTTCCTCTGTCACAGGCTTGCTCTTGATAGCCTAATGAGAATAACAAAGAGCTTTCAGTCACTTATGATTTGGAGGGGCTCCAAAGAATCTCTGCATAGGACAGGTAGACAAGGTCTTGGTGTTTCTGCATTTTTGCTGACCCAGAGGTTTGCTCCTCATTGGGAAGGCTGGGCCCTGAAGAATGGCCCCAGGCTCTTCTCTACCCCTGCGGCCCTCTGGGGTCCTCCCGTTGGAAGAGGTACGTTTCACCCCTCGGTTGTGGAAATGGGAGCTTGCCAAACATCAAACAACAGAAGAATGGCTACATTATCCACTGGGTGATGATGTGGCGATTGAAGTGAAAGTTTTTCCACAACTATTTCACAGTGCATAGAACTGCTCAGATTCATAACAACGAGACCAGAAATCGGCAGGATAGGAAATAGTGTGTTCCTAACATTGTTCAGAACTTTATGTGTAAATGGAAGGCACTGGGATTAACTATGGCCTACCATTAGCAGGAGTTTTGTGTGAATGGTAGCATTCTAAGGCCATTTTATTTATTTATTTATTTATGTCAGTCGTGGGACTGAACTCTGGGCTTGGGTGCTGTCCTTGCACTCTTCAGCTCAAGGCAAATGCTCTACCACTTGAGCCATAGCGCCACTTCTGGTTTTCTAGTAGTTTATTGGAGATATGAGTCTCATGGACTTTCCTGCTCAGGCTGGCTTTGAACTGTGATCCTCAGATCTCAGCCCCTTGAATAGCTAGGATTGCAGTCATGAGCCACCAGTGTATCACCCCCTTCTCATTAATAGGGTTTATGTTTGAACTAGTATATTATTAGTGTAATTTAAGTTGGTCATTATAGCTTATGTGGTGTTGTGTTATTTCCTGAAAGTGGCTCCTTTTATTTACCCAAATATTTGGGGGGTTTGGGTGGTCCTGGGGTTTCAACTCAAGGTCTTGTGTTTGTGAGGTGCGTTCTGCCACTTGAACCATGGCTCCAGGGCCTTTATGCTTTCCTTAGGTTTTGAATAAGATCTTTCTGTTTGCCAAGACTGGTCTGAACTGTGGTCCTCCTATGTACACTTCCCACATAATTTGGTTGAAGGTATGCACCAGCAGTTTTTGGTTGAGATATGTCTTGTAATTGTGTGTGGGGAGGTGGTTGTTTGTTGGTTTGTTTTTGTTTGGCGAGGTTTCCCAGTGCAGGTTTGTTCAGGGGATACAGAGGAAACATACACAATCATGGGCAGTGGATGCTAAGCAAATAATGGCTGCTACAAAGACTTACACCATAGCTAAACAGTTTGAAGTTGGTATGCATGCCTGTAATCTCAACGCCCAGGTGTCTGAGGCAGGAGGGTCTCAAGTTTAAGGCCATCCTGGAATATACAGCAAGACCACTCCCAAAAAACAAGCAACCACAAAATGAAGTAATATTTTAAATTAATTTTAAAAAGATAACCCAGTTAACTGGGACTGTGGGTGTTTATTTTTGTATTTGAAAGCTCTTTTCCATTTCTTTCTGTTTCTTGGAGTTTACTAAAAGAGATATCCAGGAAGCATAAATTCCTTGTTCTGAGGGTCATCATAATTGTCTGATGTATTTCACATTGCATACCCTTTTATAGCGTCCTTACTTCCAATTTTGACCACTTCTAATCCTGTCTGATTCACCTGCCTTCTCTCACTTTGTAGAGTGAAGGCAGAAAGACACTTTTCTTTCTGTGTCAAGATAAACTGATAAACTGAGTCACTAAGTCCAGACTATAAGGTTAATTACAATTCTTTTGTTCAAAGCTCCAACTTCTAAAGTATTTTCTTTCTTTTCTTTCTTCCTTTTGCCAAAAACATTCACTCTTTAAACCTTTATTGAAAGTAATGAGCTTAAAATAAGGTCTGGTGAAGATAATCATATTGCTACAGCTTAAAACAGAACTTTAAAGCTACTTGAGTAGAATAAGCTAAGTCCTAAAGCAGGCTTGATATTTACTCTATTCAATTAATTTGTACAGCAATGGACTTTAATTTTTTTGGAAAAAGAATAGTTGAAACAGAATCTCTTCAACAATACTTGGGGGACATGTTTGATTCATTTAAAACTTAGATAACATAGAATTAAGGATAACATCAGAATTTACAAAAAACATTTTTTTTCATGCTATGGGATGATTTTGACTTCATTATCAAATTGTCCTCCTATAATGTATTGATAAAAATGGGATTGGGATAGATAAGAATGAGGATAAGAAGAATGGTGAAAAGATTATATTGATAATAATCCATTGGTGAAAATAATGCTGTTTTGATGCTCTTGATTATGTTTAGTACTAACATAATATTCCACAAAGACTAAATGATGCCCATTAAATATTTTACACAAGAATTTTTGAAGCAATAGTAGAAATTAATATGAAAATAAAAAAATTACATTGAGGCAGTCTAATGGTTGAAATCCCTTCATACTTGTGATAAAACACACACATACATTTTAAGTTATTTATAAAATGAAATGTATCATTTTTATTTAATGTAAGTATTATGTTGATTTTAATACAGAGACATTGCATCAATTAGAGATTTTATTTTCTTTCCTCCTTTCTTTCTTATTCTTAAGTAGTTGGACAAAAACATTTCAATTAGCATGTCACCTGCACATGTTTCACTTCAATATGTTAGCTGGAGTTTTTAAATTTTGAGAATGCCAGAATGTAATAAAAAATGTAATAAAAATTATTACATTTTATGTACAGTAACATTATTATTTACCACAGTGAAAGTGACTTCATCTTAAGAGTTCTTACCTCAAATAATGTAATTTTTATCTCTTATCTCAAGCAGTTTTATATGTAATATATTATTGCTATAAAAAGCAACTTAATTGCCTTTGGGGATTTTCTATGAAATTTTTTTAAACATAATTTTATCGCCATGCTACGTGAGAATTCAGGAGCGACCCAAGCAGAAACCCTAGTCTGCAAAATTTGTAACTAATAGCTAAACGTCATGGAGACAGAAGTGATGTTCAGTGGTACTGGTCTTTGTCTCCTTACTGTTACTGTGTCTTAAGGAAAATGAAGTTCACTGGAGGTGTCTCAGTCTGCAGGTCAGAATTGTCTGTCAGGCAGTGTAAGACTGTAACACTGACTGATAGACAACAGTGTTTTCACCCTGTTTGACCTCTAACCATTGAACATTGAACAGAAGAGCACTTTAGACATGAATATAGATACAAGAAAACAGATGCATCTTTGAAATGTGAGGAGACTGATCAGATCCACTAATTATGAACCAAGGTTAAAAGGGGGGAAATCTGTATAGTTAGTAAGTGATAGATGTGAGGAGTTAGGAAATAACCAGGGCCTTGACCACAGCAAGATGAAATTAATACTAGAAGGCTTCCTCAGGGCTGTGTTTAGGGGGCGGGGAGAGGTTGGCAGGGATCTGTATCCTGGGATTTAGCCAAGGTAGGGCTGACAAGTGGATCTGATTCTCAAGTACTTGTAGTAATGATCAAGAAGAGAAAATGTGTGTGTGCACATACATGCATGTACACACACATGCACATGAGTACACACATGTTTGTGTATTCTTACTGTAGATAAACTATTAGCTGTTAGAGGTAACATGGTGAAAATTCATTTGGGGACCAGTTTTGATTCATTAAAACTTTACAATAATATAGACAGGACTAAGAATCAAATCAGGATCGACCAAATCTATTTTGTGCTATGGGATGATTATGACTTCATCATCAAAAAGTTTTTCTGAAAATAATACTGATGTGTTGCTTTTAGCAATTACTTTTACCACTAAAATATTGTTCTAAATAAGGACAATCATTTAAGGTAAAGTGGACCATAGTTTCTTAAATGTGGATTCTGTATTTACTTGCCAATATCAAGGTTTGAACTCAGCGTCTTACAATTGTTAGCTGACTTGCTCAGTTGGTGCTTACCACTTGAGCTATGCTTCCCGCTAGCCTTTCGCTGGTTATCTCTGGAGATAGTGCTTCTTGGACGTCTATGTTGAAGCTGTTTTCAAATGTTGATCTTGCAAGTCTAAGCCTCTGAGTAGTGAGGATTACAGGCTGAGCTACTGGCACCCAACTCCTTTGACTAATAGGAGACATCTTTGGTTCCATATTGTAATCCTACCCCTGCCATTTTGTCATTAACTGACTGTAAAAGATATTGAGACCCATCTGGTGGATTATAGTGGAGAATACATAGGTGTGTTAAGGCATGTAAAGATTTTAGGACATTCCAGTTCTCAATACGAGAGAGCTTTAATATTAGGGGTGATGGTCATCTCCCAGCTGTCATCTGTGTTGTGGGTTTTGCTTGACATGGTTCTGGTTTTGACCACAGTTCTCACTGGCTGTATTCTTATTTAGCAACAGAGTAACATGGGAAACTCAGATCAAACTAAAGATCAAGGGAATAATGTGAATGACCTGTGTCTTCTCTCTTCTAGTAGCTTCAGCCTCTCCTATTCATATTCATGCGCCTAGCCCCAGACAGTCTAGAACTGTGACTTGAAAGCTGAATTTTAAGAAATCTGTTCTATCCTCTCAATTATCTGTCTTATCCTTTGTGTTCTCAGGAATGAGGGGAGAATCATTCTTCATCGGAATGAGGAGCCCAGGGCAGCAGGGGTACACCCCTGAAGATGGAGGCCTTCTCTTACTCTGCTGCATAGACAGAGATTGGGCTGTCACTCGGTGCTTTGCAGAAGAGGCCTTCCAAGCAATCACTGACTTCAACGATCTGCCCAATGCGCTATTTGCGTGCAACGTCCACCAATCTGTGTTTGAAGGAGAAGAAAGCAAGGTAAGAAGACTGGTCTGCTCCCCAAACATGGGAAGAAATGACAACCTAGGGAGAGAAGAGGCGTGATCTCGGCGTGCTGGCCTTGTTCATTTGAGATGGCTGAAGTGTTTGGGAATGTTCATTTGGCACTGTGTGGAGCACAGGTTAGCAAAATAAGAAAAATCTGTTCCATCACAAGCAAGCTTTGGTGTGCTGCTTCAAAGGCTGCAGCCAGGCTAGTGCTCTTTGGCTTGTAGGTCCACAAATGGTGTCAGAAATGTAGTTCCTAAGGAATGTGCCTTGGGCCAAGGAGCACATGGTTAAAACTTGTAGAAGTTCTCTTTCCCCCATTTTGCCAAAAACACAACTTAGCTTGCTCTAAATCACACAAGCTTTTGAGTCCTTCCCCCTCGTTCAGTTTGATGATTGTTCTAAAAAAAAATGGTTCCTGGAGTTGTGACCCAGTCCCCTGCGGTTTCTGGAGAAAGCACGTTGGCTTGAGATAACCTGAACTGCTCACAGACAGTGTGGCAGGTGGCATCTGTGAGTGTGGGAATTCACACCGTGGTGGCTCCTTGGTTTGACTAGGGTGGGGAGTGAGGTTGTCTATGCGTAAGCATTTTAGACATTTTCATTTTAAAAAACACACTTGACTCAGTAGTAAATGTTCTTGGCAACCACCATAAAAATTCTATGTTTTTCATCTTTTAAAAAGTGATTCAGAGATTTCTGACCTTCTAAGTTTGATATGTGAATGATCCAACCTTTCTTTGTGCATGTGGATTCCTCATAAATATCTAATATTATGTCATTTAAAACATGAAAGGTATTTTATGTCATTTAAAATATGGAAGTTTTTGTTTTTTGGGTTTTTGTTTTTTGGGTTTTTTTTTTTAAATTTTATTTTATTTTATTTGAGAACATACTGTACAGAGGGGTTACAATTACATGGGCAGGATAATGCATACATTTCTTACCGAGCATTGCATCCTCCTCCTTTGTTTACCCTTCACCTCCCTTCCCAGCCTCCCCCCTCCCTCCCACCCAATCATACCCCCCCTCCTCCCCCCCCCACCGACATTGTAAAGCTGGTTTTGACATGACATTTTGTACTTCTCATTGTTGCAACAGGTCCACCTGAATCCTTAAACGACTTGTTTGTCCCCGTCTCCTCCACATGTTATACTGACATCAAATATAGTGAAAGCAGGGGTTACACTGTGGGGGAGGGACATACAAAGCAACAAAGAAATAATCTTATAAATGCATTAGAAACACATGCATGAAAGAAACAAAAACATTAAAATACATATTTGAGGTTTTGTTTTCCTAACATCACATTATCTGACTTTTTCCGCTTGACTCATACCTATACTAGATATTGCAAATAAGGGAAACCATGGGACCTATGTTTCTTTGGGCCTGGCTTACTTCACTTAATATAATTTTTTCCAAGCCTTTCCATTTCCTAACAAATGGGGAAATGTCATTCTTTCTGATGGAGGCATAGAATTCCATTGTGTATATATACCACATCTTCTTGATCCATTCATCTACTGAGGGGCATCTGGGTTGGTTCCATGTCTTAGCTATGGTAAATAATGCTGCAATAAACATAGTTGTGCTGGTAGCTTTAGTGTGGCCTTGTTTGTGATCATTTGGGTAAATGCCCAAAAGTGGGATTGCTGGGTCGTTGGGGAGCTCTATGTGGAGTCTTTTGAGGAACCTCCATACTGCTTTCCAAAGTGGTTGAACAAGTTTACATTCCCACCAACAATGAAGTAAGGTTCCTTTCTGTCCACATCCCCTCCAGCATCTGTTGTTGTTAGAGTTCTTGATTTTTGCTGTTCTAACTGGAGTGAGGTGATATCTCAATGTTGTTTTGATTTGCATTTCTTTTATGGCTAGGGATGTTGAACATTTCTTCATGTGTCTATTGGCCATCCTTCTTTCTTCTTCAGAGAAGCTTCTCTTTAAGTCTTTCGCCCACTTACTTATTGGGCAGTTGTTTCTTTGAGGATTTGTTGTTGGGTGGTTTAATTTTTTGAGTTCCAAGTATATTTTAGATATGAGACCCTTGTCCATTGTATGGCTAGTAAAGATCTTCTCCCAGTCCGTGGGCTTTCTATTGATCTTGCTAGCTATGTCATTTGCCCTGCAGAAGCTCTGCAACCTTATACAATCCCATTTGTCCAGCCTTTCTTTGATTTGTTGTGTTTCCAGGTCTCTATTCAGAAAATTTCGGCCTGAGCCAAGGAGACCCAGGGTTTCTCCTATTCCATCCTGTAATGTTTTCAGAGTGTCTGCTTTGAGTTCAAGGTCTTTGATCCATTTGGAGTTGATTCTGGTGCAGGGTGATATATAAGGATCTAGCTTTAGTTTTCTACATGTAGTTAACCAGTTTTGCCAGCACCATTTACTGAAGAGGCTGTCTGTCTTCCATTCTATTGTTTTAGCTCCCTTATCGAAGATTAGATGGCTATAGGTCTGTAGGTTCATTTCTGGGTTTTCAATTCTATTCCATTGGTGTTTTTTGGGTTTTTTTTTGGTCAGTCGTGGGGCTTGAACTCTGGGCCTGGGCGCAGTCCCTACACTCTTCAGCTCAAGGTGAGCGCTGTACCGCTTGAACCACAGCGCCATGTCTGGTTTTCTAGTGGTTTATTGGAGATAAGACTCTCACGGACTTTCCTGCCCAGGCTGGCTTTGAACCACCATCCTCAGATCTCAACCTTCTGAGTAGCTAGGATTATAGGCCTGAGCCATCTGCAGGCTGAGAAAGGTATTTTTTAGGGGAAAAGGAACTTTTGTTTTGTTAAACTAAAGTAGGTGGCTGGTCTAAGATGTGAACATAGGGTTTAGGATTGTTGTTTTTACAAACTTTAGCTGATGGCTAGTTGGCTTAAATTGAGTACCCTTTGTTGACTAATCACAATTTAGCTAGATCTTACTGATTTTGTAAACACACCTCATCGCCACAGATGATAACAACCCAGAAGATTTGATATCATTTTGAGCCATTTAAACATGTTTTATGACAATATTATTTTTGGAGTTGAACAATTCAAATGTTGGGCTAAAAGTAATCTGAAATGCAATAAATTGTCTTGGAAGAGAAACTTTAGGGCTGTGACTACCAGAGTATTTAAAATAAGAAAATCACACATGACAGGAAGGAAGGACATGAGAATTTAGTTCTAGGATCATAAACCAGATGATCATTTCCAGAGGAAATGCTGTAATATACTTGCCATCAACTGTCAAACCAGGGCCCAGGTTTTCTCCTCATCCCCTTCCTTATTTCTCACAATTAGAGGATTTCTCCTGGCAATTGACTGAGATTATTTTTTGCATTCTATTTTTTTAAAAATTAATACCGTGAGTAGTAAGTTCTTCTACCTTCTGAATCAACAAGACTTAGGAATTTGCTCTGCGTGCTTCTCAAGATTGGTGGACCAATTAAACCAGAATTGAGGACATAGAAGAGGAGATTTTTGATCTTCTAATCAGTGACTGAATCATGGATTGTCAGATATTTTCAGCTAGGTTGTTGAGAAATTGCAGCTTTGAGAGGTTGGTCTTATGAACTAGCTGACAGATTGAGGCATGGTAAACAGGATGTAATCCAATAGAACCAGTCTCAAAGAATTTAGATAACTACTTTTATTGCCAGGAAGCTAACCTTAGTTACTCACCAAGAACCATATATTAAAATGGATGGAATGGGATGGAAAGTCTTTTTTCCCTGGATTCAGTCTTCTAGCTTCCCCTTACAGAGAGTTTGTAGGATATTAAATAACCTGATAATGATTCATCTTTGGCTAAATGATAGCTAAAGTGTTAAGGATCAGAAGGTAACAGGATACCAGATGGGTCGGTAGAGCAAGGGTGCTATGATCCTTGGGACTCTAAGGAAAAAGTCTTTGTGGATCTTGGTAACACTTCATTTGTACAGCTGCATACTTTTCTTTATGATTGATGGCATCTAAGTCTTCCCTGTGCTTGTGGAATCATTTGGATAGGATCTCTCTCCCAAAGGTCCGTGTGTGAAACACTTGCTCTTCAGAGTAGTGCTATTGAGACCTTGTGGAACGGTGAAAACGTGGGGCCCTTTTGATGGGTTTTTGGATCATTGAAGCCGTGTTCGTGAAGAGGGTGCTAGGTTCTTTTTCTTCCCTTTGTACGTCTGCCATGCTGTGCTGCCGATCGAACCAACAGGGATGAACTTGCAAAACTCTAAGCCCGATAACCCTTTTCTCTTTATAAATTGGTTATCACAGGCATTTGCTATGCAGTAACAAGCTAACTAATACAGGCTTCTTCAGATTTTTCCCCCCTATCTTAATAAATATACTGGTAGGTCATTCTCTGAGAATATGCTATTCCCAGGATAGAGATTTCATGAATCTGAGTGACAGGGACCAAAGATGTTTATCTTTGCATAAGTGGGACATTTGAGGCACTATGTTAAGTTGAGGAGGAATTTTGTTTTAGCAGGGGAGAAAGAAGCAAAAACCATCTCCTAAACTCGTTGTATTTTCCTGTGGGCGAATAGTAACAGTGATCATTGCTTTTATGTTTGGCCTTGGGATGATATATTCCGCAGCCTAGAATGTTATGGTGTAGGGGAGTGAGGCTTAGCCCTTGCCTCTGGGGTTCATGGGGGGTGGGGAGGGAGAGTAGGTGATGGCGGGTGTGCATAGTTTGGGCAGAGGTCTTTCTGTTATGGCATAACTTCTTTTTGAATCCTTGTATCTGGAGAATGGTAGATTCGAGTTCGGCCTGTCTTTGTAAGTATTTTAATCTTCTTAGTTGGGTAAGAACAGAAGCGCTTGCTGTCTCTCATACCTAAATCTCACAGCATCCCTTCCCCATTTTTCCCACATGCCCAAGCCTCTCTTTTCCTTTCCCTTTCTGGGTTTTCCAGAGATTTGGGGCACTCCTAGGTAACACCATAGAATGTGGTCTCCTGATTATGTCCCTTGCGGTTGAGCAATGTGATAAATACTCTGTATACTTGCTTG